ATATATACTGTTACACATATGTGCATCGCCTTACATGTATGTATATATAAGATGGTTAATAATCCATCGGATTCACGGCTACCTAGGTTAGAGTGATGCACACGTTAATCAATTATCGATCCGATGTTGCCTGGTGCTGCGCAAATCTCGTCCGTTTGAACAGTCGTTGTTGCACTCCGTTTGCACTTATTTTACCTGCCTACACTCGTCAGGGAAGCCGACGACGACGTTTCCGCGGGCCGGAACCCATTCGCCTTACAAACGAAAGCGCGAGAGCGAAAACTGGAGAGAAGAATTTCGCACGCAAACAGAACGAGCACCCCACGGACCGTTACGATCTTCACCCTCTCGGATTCGGCGATTGGTTTCAGCAGAGACCGCGTGGCGACGCTCCGCGGCTAACTCACCAGCCAGTACGGCATAAAAACTTTCTAGGCAAAAGTCTGTTCTTTGTAACTGCACCTTCAGAGTTACATTTGTGACCAGATGTCACTGACTAAGTAGAAAAGTCGACGTTAAACCAACCAGGCTCTGCCGAACCTTTAGAAGTGAACTTCCCCAAGGATGCCGCTGCCTATCCACGGTCGACGGGGCGTTTTTAGACACTCGCTCAAATTCTAGACCTGGAAAGCTGGACAGGCCAAGTCACCCCAGATGGGACTTTACTGTTAGGAGTTTTACCAGGGGATTCCCTTTCCGTTAGACTCGTCGTCCCCGAGGTAGTGTTCTTAGGTCTGTTTTTTTTTTTTCGAAAAACTTTCTGCACTAGTGCACACTAGTGCAAGGAGTTTACACAACAGCGTTCTTTTTATCAAGAATGACGTTATCAACGCTGTTCGTTTCCGCAGTGCAACAGCATACAGTACAGGTAGTTCAGTGAACTGTTGCACTAAGTCAGGAGGTAGTGTGGTCAGTGCAGTGCATGAAAGTGTAGCTTGCAAGTGCCGTAAGCGTAACGGAAATTTATACGAAGTCTCAATCAGGTATGTGGCTTGCATTATATTGAAATGTGTGAAATATCTTCTTTATTCCAATTTCAAAAATTGTTAATATTATACCATAACACACATATACAGCAATAATGTCCAAACATACCACAAGGATGAATTTAAGATGTCAAGATATTTTTATCATTTTATATTTATATTTATTTTATATTTAGTCATTTATTTAAATTAATAATGGATAGGGTATGTAATATTATAAATTATTAATAAATTTGCTATATTTTGTTGTATATTTCATTCATCATTCTCAACTACAATAGGTTACAATAGTGGTTGTATTACAACAAAATCCTCTTCATCAGAAGAATCAAATAATGTCATGTGATGCGCTATGTTGTTTACTATAATCTGGCGTTTCAGCTGTGCAGCGAAAAAGAACATACTTCTTCATTACACTTTTGCACTGAACTGAACTATTCTGTATTAATCTTTCCCAGTGCGGTTCAGTTCAGTTCTAGTGCAGTGTTAGTATAACGAAAAAAAACAGACCTCTTGCCACAGGACGCTCGCCTCAGGCGTATGGGTATGGTGGTAAGGAAACGCGACAGAATGAACACGCACTTCGTAAAAGCGAATGAAAAGGAATCCGTTTAAAAAAATAAATAAAACGATAACAGAAAAATACGGATCTATAAATCCTATAGTAACAGAATGAACTTACTCAACACAAAACAGAACAGTACGGAGGGTATGATGATAATTAACGCACTTATGGAATACGAAATGAGTATGTACAAGTGAGTGATGAATATAATAATATAATGCAATTTTAATAATATAATGCAACTAATGAAATGAAAACGATGAACGAATCTTATACGACTTATCAACTAATACACGCGGTATGAACTACTAAAAAAAACGTAAATGTATAAAATAGAATTATCCTGCAAATCGATATGTCAAGAAAACAAAACAATCATCCCCAAGCATGGGAACGTTTTCTCCCTTTTTATGTATCAATTCTGACGCGTGACTACCGTCGCGAACACGTCGCGATCTGATCGGGCACGCACGGCGGGATGACGCAATAAGCGTCACTTATTCTACCGGGCAGTCCTTTGATTCCGCTGACGACGGGATTCTTTCCGTACTAAACTTAGCTTTCCGCTCCCGTCCACCGGTACCACGGTCCACGTCGGGCTTCCCACAGGGTGCCTCGGTTTTGCGACGAGTCTCGATTTTCCGGAAAATTACGGGGGGAACAGTGGCGATTTTTTAGATCACTTACCGTCGCCAGGCGATCGGTCGTTTCCTCACGTCTCCCTGTGTCTCCACCAGGAGATTTGCAACAGGATGTCTCCGCCGGTTTTCCTCTCCGTCAGCAACTTCCCCAGGATTCCTTGCCTCTTTCGTCCCTGCGCAGTTCCTTCGCTTCTTTCAATCGACGTCTTCTCGAATCCCGCGCTCGCCTGCAACTGCGTCACTTACTTGTTCCTCAATTTCAAACGTTTCACGATGCTTCCTGATTTGCTGTCGGTCTTAGTCAATCGCAGTCGTCTCGCTTTGTTTCAGCCTGGTTCTGCGGTGCCGCCTACCGGAGGTTTCCTTTACTTCCGTTCAGCCGCGTTCCCCCAAGCTAATGAACCACCGATTGCACGTTGTAATATTATTTTCATTATTATTAAGCATAGAGATATAAGAATAGAGGGAACAAGGGATATATGCTACCTGTAAGTGAAAGTGATAGAGGTCAAGAAAGAGATAGATGCCGAGTGTCCTATCTGTCTCTTTCTAGTCGAGCGCTGTGATTGGTTGTTACAATAAGCCACCAAGCCGACCACGCGACGTCAGGTGGGGAGAAAGCAGACTAAAATTTCATTTTGTAAATATGCGTGCACATGTGTGTAGAATTAAAATTCGTTAAATATTCCAACGTTAACAAAATAATAATTGGACGCGATTTGTTTAAAAATGAAGCATTTTTTGAAATGCTAGGCGGAGCTTTATCCTGGATGTAACCGCAGTTTTCACTCGTAAGAAAGTACAAATACGTAACCTCAAATAATTATATGTTATTTTTTCCTACATTAAAAAAAATATGTAAATGTTCTAGGCTACCGAAGGATGTAGATATAAGGCGTAAATGGTTGAATATACTTCAACTACCTTTGTATTTCGAAGTGAAAACAGCATATATTTGCAGTGATCATTTTAGCAATGACAGTTTCTTTGAATTGGATAGAGAAAAATGTATAGCTATATCGTCGTTGGCGCGGCAGCCAATCCCAGTGCGTGATTAGAAAGAGACAGATAGGACACTCGGCATCCATCTCTCTCTTTGCTTCTATGACTTCCACCTACAGGCTTGTTTCCTTTATTCTTATGTCTCTATGTTATTAAGTTTAAACCTGGCACATGAGTTGTCTTTCAAGCGAAATGAAATGATATATCTAGTAATATACTAGAATCTAGATTTATCTAGAAATGCACCAATCGGACAATATCGCTAGAATGTTATTAATATCATTAGAACTCGATAAACCGATTGTGATTGGTCAATTACTTAAGGCTCAAGGTTTAGGGTGCGTTCGAGGAGCAAGTTATTAGCACTGATCAGCTCTAACGATGTCATTCCACCCTTGTCGCATATCTAACGCGAGACAAAGATAAATAGAAGCGTTAGCGCTAAAAGCGTCTCCCCGAACACACCATGATTTACACTTATTGCAGATCTGGGCTTAATACAGTTCGACCGTCTTCGCGAGCGAGAATTAATCATTGATCATTTAAAATTTAAATAATAGATGGTAAAAGTATAGTCGGTCACAGAACGATTCGTCCGAATCTATTTCTAATGAAGTTAACAGCTCTACAAGTTATTACAATGTGAGTTACTACCCGCAGGCTTGTGCGGTGATTGGTTATGAGAGAAGACGAAATATCTATGCGTGTAAATATTGGTCTTTTGTTATATTCTTATCTGATAAGAGTATAATAAATGTACTTATGTTTTTCCTGAATCCGTTGCAGTTTTGATACGTCGGATGTCGATGTCTTGTGTATCGTCGGTTCCTGTTATAACCAATTCTTGTGTAAGCTCATCAGCAGTAGCCTGCAATTGTGGTAACTTGAAGCATTTCGAACTTCATAAGAAAGCTAATGCTTGGTTTCACCAATGTCAGTTAAACCTTAACCTGAGTTTTTGTCTGTCTAAAGAGTTTAAATTCAGATCAAGGTTTAACAAATGTTGGTCAGGCAATAGTTGTTCTGCAACTGATTGTACTTAGATGAATAAATATATAATTAAGCAAATGCAAATGCGAACGAATGAGAACTCAACTCAAATATATTATTGAATATGGATTGATAACATTTCAATTGCTTGCTGATATTACTTAATATAACAAACTCAATTTACTGAAATTTTGGTCCTTAATTGGTTTTGCTTGTTTACAAATTTTGGAAAATATTATTTATTTAGTTTGAACAAATTGATACAATTATCATCCACCCGCCTTTCTAGATCTTTTTGAAGTCTCTTCTAGAATCTGTAATACTCTGAGATTTTCTTGTAAAACTTTATCAACTTATAAGATAATGCAATGTTTTTTCTACTCTAAGGTTTTTTTATCTTGTACAACATATCCTGTGTTGTCCCCGGCTGCACCCGGGTCGCGCTCTCGGTCATCTCGTTTCTCGGAAGCTTCTCTTTCTCCTTCTCGGCTCTCTCGTGCTTCATCGACTTCTTCGGTCTCTCGGTATAGCTGTGGGGAAAGCGGAGCGTCAAGTGAGGGATCGTGGAGATATACGGGGTATCAACATTGACCCTCGCCAAATTTGTCCATGTTGATCCAGGACACTTTTGTATAATAGGGTGACAACAACGCACCTGTCTGTGGAGCTCTCGGACGACTGGCGTTTCCGCTTAGTCGAGGTCTTCTTCTAAAAGAAAATCCGACATAGATCAATACTCCTTATTGACTCTTCTCAGCAATCATGCACACGTATTAAAGAGTTACGACGAAAAGAAAGAAGAAAACGGAAGGAAACGGTAGAAAGAAATTCGACGTATTCGTTTTACTACGGAGTCTGCTCCTCCCAGAATTTCTAATCGGGAGCTATCGGTGGTCGAGTGATAACGATGCAAAATAAGAAGCGCATTCAACAAAACGTATCTTCGCACGTCTGAAAAGAGACTGCCACAATTCGAGGAATGAACTTCTTCGGAGGAAGATTATTCTTTTGAAATCACACCTAATCTCTCAGAATTAAGAGTAATATTATTATTAAGAAGAAATGTGCGAGATACTGGCGAATCTTTCTAATTTATCTATTCGGCGTTTTTAGGCGTGCGACGGTCTACTTTCAAGACGTTTACTGTGAATCCCCGGTCAAGAACAAGCAGTCTCCGAGATCCATCTTCCGTAATCAGCGATGTAATAGTGCTCGACACACAACGAGTGAGAGTAGAAATAGATAGAAAGAAAGAGAGAGAAAGAGGCTCTTACACAAGTAAATTCGCAAATTCGAAAGTAATACACACGACGAGAATGAACTTTACGAATTCACAAAATGAGAAATTACATTGAGTAGCGGCATATCTGATACTCACTCAGGGAATGTCTCCTGTCAAATGGCGCTAATTACAAACAATACTGAGATTTATACTTTGAAATAATGAACTGTCGGGAAAAAAACGGGAAATCAGATGAAAAGTCGTTTAACGCAAGAAACGCACGACAAAAGCGAACTGGCGGGGAACAGGGGGGGGAGGGGGGCGGCAGAGTCCAGAGAGTATGGGGCAGATTGAGCATGCTATTTTCTCGTGACGGCAAACCCAAAAGAGATCGGAAGAATATAAACGG